AAGTTGCTTGTAGGACCTGTATCCCAATGCCTATCCTTTGAACTGGATCCCCATTCCCACTCCTTTTCCTGGAACACCCAAGAGAGAGCCACACCAAGATGGGGAGGGCCGCACTCCACATTCCACCTTCTCCCATAACTCAAGGCTGACAGGTCTGCGCTCCCAAACAGACCCAGCAGGAAGTTGTGGGTTTGGAGAGAGTTGTTTTGTTGCTTCATGCAGCAGGAAGGGACTTCCCATTTCTGAGCAGTTGAAGGAGCCCCTTTGCCCCAAAATGCTCTTCTTGGACCACAGTGGCTCACATGACCCAGCTGTGGGGCTTTTCATTCCAGAGCTGGCAGAAGTTGTTTATGTGTGTGTGTCACTACTCCGCGGTGCTCTTTGTCCCAAGTCTGGGAACACAGTGATCCCGTGGAGGAAAGAACTGAGATGGAAATGGGGGCGGGCAGGATCTGGCAAACAATAGCCCTTGTGATGGATACTATGGCATCCATTCCACACGCTCTGATGCAAGGGCTCCTGGGTAGAGTGGGTGGGTGGGATTATTAAGACAAGCATGTGCGTCAGCTGCGTCTGTACCTTGGGAAGTCCGTTCTGGCCACGGTGGTCCATGTTCTGGTTACATCCCAAATAGATTACTGCAATGCACTCTACGTGGGGCTGCCTTTGAAGACTGTTCGGAAACTTCAACTAGTCCAACGGGCTGCAGCCAGATTGCTAACTGGAGCATAGAATCATAGAGTTGAAAGAGACCTCATGTTCCATGCTCTGGTTACATCCCGAATAGATTACTGCAATGCACTCTATGTGGGGCTGCCTTTGAGGACTGTTCGGAAACTTCAACTAGTCCAACGAGCTGCAGTCAGATTGCTAAGCAGAGCATAGAATCCTAGAGTTGGAAGAGACCTCATGTTCCATGCTCTGGTTACATCCCGAATAGATTACTGCAATGCACTCTACGTGGGGCTGCCTTTGAAGACTGTTCGGAAACTTCAACTAGTCCAACAAGCTGCAGTCAGATTGCTAACCAGAGCATAGAATCCTAGAGTTGGAAGAGATCTCATGTTCCATGCTCTGGTTACATCCTGAATAGATTACTGCAATGCACTCTACGTGGGGCTGCCTTTGAAGACTGTTGGAGACTTCAACTAGTCCAACGGGCTGCAGGCAGATTGCTAACCGGAGCATAGAATCATAGAATCCTAGAGTTGGAAGAGACCTCCTGGGCCATCCAGTCGAACCCCCTGCCAAGAAGCAGGAATATTGCATTCAAATCACCCCTGACAGATGGCCACCCAACCTCTGTTTAAAAGCCTCCAAAGAAGGAGCCTCCACCACACTCCAGGCAGTTCCACTGCTGAATGGCTCTCACAGTCAGGAAGTTCTTCCTCAGGTTCAGATGGAATCTCCTCTCTTGTAGTTTGAAGCCATGGCTCCATTGCGTCCTAGTCTCCAGGGAAGCAGAAAACAAACCTGCTCCCTCCTCTCTGTGGCTTCCCCTCACATACTTATACATGGCCCTCATCATGTCTCCTCTCAGCCTTCTCTTCTTCAGGCTAAACATGCCCAGCTCCTTAAGCCGCTTCTCATAGGGCTTGTTCTCCAGACCCTTGATCATTTGAGTTGCCCTCCTCTGGACACATTCCAGCTTGTCAATATCTCTCTTCAATTGTGGTGCCCAGAATTGGAGCACCATACAGGGAGCACACCTCCCCGCTGCTATGTCAGCTTCACTGGGTGCCGGTCCATTTCCGAGCACAATTCAAAGTGCTGGTCTTGGCCTATAAAGCCCTTTACAGCTCCGGCCCAGCTTACTTGTCTGAACATATCTCCCTCTATGTTCCACCTCGTAGTTTAAGATCCACCAGGGAAGCCCTGTTCTCGGTCCCACCGGCCTTGCAAACACGTCTGGTGGGAATGAGGGACAGGGCCTTCTCTGTGGTGGCCCCCCACTTATGGAATTCGCTCCCCAGAGACATCAAATTGGCCACCTCCCTTCTGTCTTTCAGAAGGAAACTTAAGATCTGGCTATGGGACCAAGCATTTGATGAATAGTAACAGAAACAGAAGTTTTAAGGCAATTAATTGACCCGGACTGGACCATGGACTCTGGATTTTGGATTCTGATTTTAACAGGCATGCTTTAATCAATTGTTAATTACTGTTTTTAATATTTTAATATATTGCTGATTGTTGATTGTTTTTATGATGTTCGGCATCCTATGATGCGTTTGTGAGACTGCCCTGAGTCCCCCCTCGGGAGTGAGAAAGGGGGGTAGAAATATAGGAAATAATAAATAATATAAATAGATTGGCGTCCCTCCTCCTCTCCTTTAGGAAAAAACTGAAATCGTGGTTTTGGAACCAGGCTTTTGGCTAGCAGGCACAACGGCACTTTAGACACTGAACTGGACCATGATTGTTATGATAATGGAAATGGCTACAGGACTGTATAATGAATGTTATTGTTTTTATTCTATTGTATATTTATGGTTTTATATTGTTGTGATATTGTGATATTGTGGCATCGAAATGTTGCCAGTGTTAGCCGCTCTGAGTCCCCCCTTGGGGGTGAGAACGGCAGGGTAGAAATATAGGAAATAAATCTATATAAATAAAAATGTAATATTTGTTTGTGGGATTGACATAACTCAAAAACCACTGGACGAATTGACACAAAATTGGGACACTACACTCCTAACAGACCAACAAGTGACCATCACTCATAAACCCCTCCCAAAGGGAACCCCCCCCCCCAAAAAAAGTGAAATGACAATACAGCGCATGTGCAAAAACGACAGCTCCCAGAATCCTCTAGACCAGGTCCTTTAGGGGAGGATGCTCCAAATGCACTGCTTTCAAGCTGCAGAGCATCCCAATATGTAGAAAAGGTCAGTTGGTTGTTTTGCTTGCTTGCTTGCATGTTGCAAGTCGCTTCTAGTCGCTTCTGGAGGAGAGAATCAGCCGTCTACGAAGACATTGCCCAGGGGACGCCCGGATGTCTTGCAATCCTGTGAGGAGGCTTCTCTTATGTCCCCCTGAACCCTGCTACTTGCACAATGCACAATGCTACATCCACAAGGGAGGACCTCCTTGCGGCAACACCAGAGGCACTCCAAGTGGCCAGCTACTGGTCAAAGGACATTTAATCAACTACCAAGCTTGCAAATCTGTGTTTTGCCTGTCTGTCTGTTTGTTTGTTTGTTTTTGTTAAAAATGTAATACAAATGTCTGGTTGCTGATGACACGATAAATAAATCCCAATCTGTACATATTTCCTTTTTGCTATTCCTGGATTGCAACTCCCAGCAATCCTCCAGATTGATAAGATATAGAGATTAGATAGAGATGGATAGGAGATAGATAAATCAATCAGGAGGACTTCTGGGATTTCTGGGGGAGGAAGGAAGGAGAGAAGGAAAGGAAAAAAGGGAAGGGAGGAAGGAAAGAGGGAAGGATGGAAGGAAGAAAGGAAGGAGAGAAAGAGGGAGGGACAGTTGGCCACAGCAACGCGTGGCGGGTACAGCTAGTAAATAAATAAATGTTGGGTTGTTGTAGGTTTTTCCGGGTTATATGGCCATGTTCTAGAGGCATTTTCTCCTGATGTTTCACCTGCATCTATGGCATAAATACGTCAGGAGAAAATGCCTCTAGAACATGGCCATATAACCCGGAAAAACCTACAACAACCCAGTGATTCCGGCCATGAAAGCCTTCGACAATAAATAAATGTTGGATTGGGTCAGGGCTGTGTGGTGTTGTCCTGCCACAAAAACTCAGCTGCCTATGGGCTATTTGACCAGGAAAATCCCTGAGCTTTCTTTGGACTGCGATTCCCAGAATTCTGCGAGTTGCAGTCCCCAAAAGCCCAGGCCCTTTTCCTGCATTCAAAGCTTGTTGTTCATTCGTTCAGTCATCTCCGACTCTTCGTGACCTCATGGACCAGCCCACGCAAGAGCTCCCTGTCGGCCGTCACCACCCCCAGCTCCTTCAAGGTCAGTCCAGTCACTTCAAGGATGCCATCCATCTATCTTGCCCTTGGTCGGCCCCTCTTCCTTTTGCCTTCCACTTTCCCCAACATCATTCCCTTCTCTAGGCTTTGCTGTCTCCTCCTGATGTGGCCAAAGGACTTCCACTTTGTCTCTAGTCTCCTTCCCTCCAATGAGCTTTAGTCGGGCTTTCTTTCCTGGAGAATGGACTGGTTGGATCTTCTGGCAGTCCAAGGCATTCAAAGCTACCCTATCCAGAAAGCCCACTACCAAACCGTATGGAACGAGATTGAAAGCAGAGCCGTTAAACAGTTTCTTGAAGTTTAATAACCTGAAATACTGCAAAAGTGACCGTAATATAAAACGATGACCAGCTCCCCTCTTTCCCCGAGGTCTGTCTCCCCCCATGTGTCTCCCCCACATCTATTCATGTCAAAAGGCAATCCCACATCCATCCCTCCACCCCACGTTGCAAATTTGAGGTGTGGGGTCAGGAGGAGAGAAGGGGAGTCTGGCCAAACTGGGGTCCAAAACCCTCCCAAATTTGCCAAGTTCACCTCCCGCCAAAGGCCCCGACCCCCTTCCAGAGCTGGGGGGTGTGTGTGTGACAAAAGCAAGTTTTCCAATCCACCCACTGAAGGCACATGCTGTGTTAGTAGCCCCCTTCCACCCTCCCTCCCTCCCCCCCCCTCACAACCCTTTCCCCAGAAGGCTGGCTTTTTTCTCTCTCACACCAGGTACATCTACACTGTAGAATTAATGCACTTTGATGCCACTTTAAATGCCATGGCTCAATGCTATGGAATCCTGGGAGCTTGGCACTCTTTGGCAGGTAAGATTAAAGGCTTTATACGGCTCCCAGAATCCCATAACACGGAGCCATGGCATTTAAAAGTGATGTCAAACTGCTTTGATTCCACCAGACATGTGCAAACTTGGGCCCTCCAAGTGTTTTGGACTCCAACTCCCACCATTCCTAACAGCCTCAGGCCCTTTCCTTTTGGCAAAAGGAAGGGACCTGAGGCTGTTAGGAATGGTGGGAGTTGGAGTCCAAAACACCCGGGGCACCCAAGTTTGCAAATGTCTGGTGTAGACGCACCATCACGCACGCAAGCACAACCACACACACAATCATTCTCCCGACTCCAGCTGTTTCGGTACCAAGCTGCCCACCCACATGCACCCTGTTCACATCTGCGGGAATCCGTTAGTGAGGGAGTGAGTGGCCGGAGTGACCGTCCCTGGCAGGCGGCCACCCACCCACGTCCCCATCCCTGTCCTTAGTGTCAGTCTCTCGTCAGTTCCTCCCGCCCCAATCCGGGTCATGCGCTGGTGCCGCTGGAAGAAGGAGGAGGAGGAGGAGGAGGGGGCTTGGCGGCCGTGTGGAGCTGGGCCTGGAAGCGGGAGAGCTGTTCGGAGTTGGCGAGGGAGCGGAGGAGGGCGTTCTCCTGCTCCAGCAAGGCGTTGCGCTCCGAGAGCTCCTTGATCTGCTCCCGCAGGACCTCCACCTCCTCACGCACCGCAAACATCAGGTGGCTCTTCACCAGGTCCTGGAGCAGGAAAGGCAAAACAAGGACAATGCCGTGGTGAGGCATGTGGGAAACGCATAGACTCACAAAGATATCCCAAGGGCCACCCAGTCAGACAGGAAGACACAATCCAAGCCCTCTTGACAGAAGGCCATTCAGCCTCTGCTTGAAAACCTCCAGAGAGAAGATTGCACTTGAGACACCGTATTTCCTTATCAATTAGCTCTTGCTGTTAGGAAGTTCTTTCTAATGTTTAAGTGGGACCTCTTTTGCAATCCAAACCCATCGCTCCGTTGTGTTCCAGTCTCTGGAGCAGAAGAGAGCAAGCCTGCCTGTGAGGAAGCCATGTAATTATCAAGATCAACTTAGGAGCTGTTTTGCAAAGGGACCACTAATTAAGGAGGGTTTACTTATTTTTGAGAGCGTAGAATCATAGAATCATAGAATCAAAGAGTTGGAAGAGTTGGAATGCCAACCCCATTCTGCCAAGAAGCAGGAATATTGCATTCAAATCACCCTTGACAGATGGCCATCCAGCCTCTGTTTAAAAGCTTCCAAAGAAGGAGCCTCCACCACACTCCGGGGCAGAGAGTTCCACTGCTGAACGGCTCTCACAGTCAGGAAGTTCTTCCTCGTGTTCAGGTGGAATCTCCTCTCTTGTACTTTGAAGCCATTGTTCCATTGCGTCCTAGTCTCCAAGGAAGCAGAAAACAAGCTTGCTCCCTTCTCCTCCCTGTGGCTTCCTCTCACATATTTGCACATGGCTATCATATCTCCTCTCAGCCTTTTCTTCAGGCTAAACATGCCCAGCTCCTTAAGCCGCTCCTCACAGGGCTTGTTCTCCAGACCCTTGATCATTTTAGTTGCTCTCCTCTGAACACAATCCAGCTTGTCAATATCTCTCTTGAATTGTGGTGCCCAGAATTGGACACAATATTCCAGGTAAAGTGGTCTAACCAAAGCAGAATAGAGGGGTAGCATTACTTCTCTGGACCTAGACACTATGCTCCTCTTGATGCAGGCCAAAATCCCATTGGCTTTTTTTGCCGCCACATCACATTCCTGGCTCATGTTTAACTTGTTGTCCACGAGGACTCCAAGATCTTTTTCACACGTACTGCTCTCGAGCCAGGTAACGTCCCCCCATTCTGTCTCTTTGCATTTCGTTTTTTCTGCCTAAGTGGAGTATCTTGCATTTGTCCCTGTTGAACTTCATTTTGTTAGTTTTGGCCCTTCATCTCTCTAATCTGTCAAGATCCCTTTGAATCCTGCTCCCGTCCTCTGGAGTCTTGGCTCTCCCTCCCATTAGCTTGTGTTTAATGTCCCTGATTTGGTCTTTGTTCTTGTGCAGGGCTGTTTGACTTAGAGGAAACTGTATCAGAGGCAAGGCTTGAGGAAAACAGTAACAAATATATTGGAATATAACAGGAGTAGAATAGATTCAATGCTACTTCACTCTAGAGCACAAAACCTAGTTGGTTACATTTACGAGGTTTCTTGAATAACTCTAGGCACTAAACAGATTTCAAAAAGGTTTCTTTAGGCAGATGTCTCTTTCTTTAACAACTGTTCTGGCAATACCAATAAGCCACCGGACTTAGTCAACTGTATTGGCTCTAAGCCCAACCTTGATTCTTAATCAAGAATCAGTCCTCCCTGTAGATCGATCACTACAAGATTCCTGTTGGATTTCCACTTCCACACAGGATCTACTACCTCTATAATTCACTAACTACAGATCAATTCCCTGATCCTCTCACTAGAGAATCCTCTCCTGTAACTTCTCCGGTTACAGGCTGCTGATCCACAGATCAGTCCTATTCTGTAACTCTCCAGCTACAGACTGACCAGAGGTAGTGAGGATGCTTGCCATAGATGCAGGCGAAACGTCAGGAGAGAATGCCTCTAGACCATGGCCATACAGCCCAAAAAAACCTACAACAACCCAGTGATTCCGGCCATGAAAGCCTTCGACAATACATTATTACTGCTCTTGTTTATTGTTTATTTTTTGTTATGAGTTTTATTTTATTGTCTGTATTAATTGTTGTTATTGCTTTATCATTGTTGTATTGTGGGCCCGGCCTCACGTAAGCCACACCGAGTCCCTTGGGGAGATGCTTGCGGGGTACAAATAAAGATTATTATTATTATTATTATTATTATTATTATTATTATTATTATTATTATTATTATCCTGGTATGGAACCCACAGATGTACATGCACAGAAGCGACATCTCCACCTTTCTCTGGGAACGGTCAAAGGCAGAGATCATCCATTGGCATCTGAATCTCTTCCAAGCACAGGAACCCCGGAAAGAATGTAAGCAAGGCAGAAGAATGGGCGGAAGGCTGGTTTCTACGCTTTGTGCTTATCGTGCAAGGAAGCACCATCACTCAACCGCCCTCAAGCAAGGAAGCAGGAGGGCATACGGGTGGGTTAAGGGGGTTGTGCTTCGGCTCCATGTCCACACCTCTGTTCCTCCAGCCCTCGGGCATCAAGGAGGTGACACACGGGAAGGCCTGCCCAGAGGTGCCCACCTGGCCCCATGGCTCCTGCCGCCCTCGGGGCCCCTTCCCTTGACTCACCATGGCTTGTTCAATCTTGTTGTCTATGGCTATCATGCTGCTGTTTGTTCCGCTGCAGGGGAAAAAAGAGAAAGAGAGAGGAAGGTGGATTAAGAGAGAAAACGGAGCTTCGGGCCAGCCCTTACGCCGCCACCACCACCACCATTCTCCATTTGCCTATGTTGCTCTGACAATTATAATTAACACTTTCCAAAGTGGCGGACAAGACCCTCTGCTACCGGCTTAAGAGTTACCTCTGCATCACTCTCTTCCAAATCGCAATGGAAACCCCAGAGCACCAAAAAGCCCTGGCTTCAGGCGGCATTCTTTTCTCCCGCGGCCACAAAATTTTCCACTGGATCTAGTGGAGCTCACACAACCAGATACACAGGCTGGCCACCTGAAAGTATCCGTGTAATGAGCATGACCTTAGACGTGTGCAGAGTGACCTGGGCGCTCCGCACACACTTGTTACCCACATAGCGGCACACTTCTTTTCAGGAGACGTGTGGCATCCGAGAGGCTCCCACCACTCAATTCTTTGAGGGGTTTGCAAAGCCCTTGGCCATGGGACCAGTGGAGAAAACGGCCAAGAGAAAATCTGACCGGCAGTGGTGACAGCACGGCCCAAGGTCCTCTGGGGATCCAGCTGTGTTTGTTTATTTACATCCCGTTCCGTGCGCTGAGCTCCAGGCTCCAAACAAAAGCCAGAAGGCGCTCCAGGCGTGGGATTGAAATGCAACTCCCCAAAGCCGACAGCCAGTTGGTCAAGGGTGGGCAAAGCAACGCATGGATTTTCCCCACTGATGCTGCCTATGCCATCCCCAAAATCTCTCCTCTCAGGTAGCACGCTGTATTTTTATGGGACTTTCCTTTGAGAGATAGTTCAAGGAGCCTGCCCTGCTTCTTCATCACCCTCGTTTGCACAGTCCAGTAGCAATCCCCACAACAAGTCTTTCCATCTCAATAGGACATAGAATCATAGAATCCTAGAGTTGGAAGAGACCTCCTGGGCCATCCAGTCCAACCCCATTCTGCCAGGTATTGTGTCAAATTTGGACCTGGGAATGAAAATACATTCTGTGTATTGTTGAAGGCTTTGTATTGTCGAAGGATCCTCTGACCTCTGCGGGCGTCTACCGTGTACCATGCAGCTGTGGACAAGTCTACATAGGAACCACCAAACGCAGCGCCCAGGCACGCATCAAGGAACATGAAAGGCACTGCAAACTACTCCAGCCACAGAAATCAGACATAGCAGAGCACCTGATGAACCAATCTGGACACAGCATATTATTTGAGAACACAGAAGTGCTGGACCACTCTCAAACCACCATGTCAGGCTACACAGAGAAGCCATTGAAATCCACAAGAAGCATGTGGACAATTTCAACAGAAAGGAAGAGACCATGAAAATGAACAAAATCTGGCTACCAGTATTAAAAAAACTCAAAAATTACAGCAGCAAAACAACAGAGGGGAAACAAACAAGCACATAAAATCACTCTCAACAAAAGATTCCCCCAGGCACTTCCAAGCCATTGAATGCAAATCAAGGTGATCAGCTGAAACATTCACACCTAGCCCCAGCAGACAAAAAGTCCTTTGTCTCACCCTGGTCATTCCACAGATATATAAACCCATTTTTCCTACTTCCAACAGACCTCACTACCTCTGAGGATGCTTGCCATAGATGCAGGCGAAACGTCAGGAGAAAAATTGCCTCCAGAACATGGCCATATAGCCCGGAAAAACCTACAACAACCCAAAATACATTCTGCATATCGGATATTAACATTACGATTCATAACAGTAGCAAAATTACAGTTACGATGTAGCAACAAAAATAATTTTATTGTTGGGGGTCACCACAACACGAGGAACTGTATTATGGGGTCACGGCATTAGGAAGGTTGGGAACCAGTGCTCTAGTTGAACGCCTGGCCCCAGAGCCAAGTCTTCAGTTGTCTTCTGAAGGACAGGAGGAAGGTGGCCAACCTGATGTCCTTAGGGAGAGAGTTCCACAGACGGGGAGCCACTGCCGAGAGGGCCCTGTCTCTCGTCCCCACCAACCGCATTTGCAAGAGCGGTGGGATTGAGAGCAGGGCCTCTCCTGATGATCTTAAGCTTCAGTCGCCCTCCTCTGAACATCTTCCAACTTGTCCATCTCCTAAATTGTGTTGCCCAGAACTAGACACAGGGTTATTCTAATAGTCCCTTCCAGCCCTATGTTTCTAAGGCCTAAGAGCAGCATCCTAACGTCATAGAATCATAGAATCAAAGAGTTGGAAAAGACCTCATGGGCCATCCAGTCCAACCCCATTCTGCCAAGAAGCAGGAATATTGCATTCAAATCACCCCTGACAAATGGCCATCCAGCCTCTGCTTGAAAGCTTCCAAAGAAGGAGCCTCCACCACACTCCGGGGCAGAGAGTTCCACTGCTGAACGGCTTTCACAGTCAGGAAGTTCTTCCTCATGTTCAGATGGAATCTCCTCTCTTGTAGTTTGAAGCCATTGTTCCTTTGCGTCCTAGTCTCCAAGGAAGCAGAAAACAAGCTTGCTCCCTCCTCCTCCCTGTGGCTTCCTCTCACATATTTATACATGGCTATCATATCTCCTCTCAGCCTTCTCTTCTTCAGGCTAAACATGCCCAGTTCCCTAAGCCGCTCCTCAAGAAAGCGTTCTCCAAGGATCATCTAGTCCAGCCCCCTCCCAGAGGCACAACCAAAGCGTATTCGGACAGCATTATCTCTAAAGTTTCATGCCCTCAGTGCCCTCTGTGTCAGGACACAGGAGTCCCTTCCTGTTGCCATTTGCAAACAACCACAATCGCACAACTCCCCCTCCCCGCCCGGCTACCTGTGCAAGACAAGCAGGAGCGAAACCAAGGTTTTGTCCACCTCTTTTTTCCGGCCGTTGAGCTTCCGGGCGACACCGGCGGCTTGCAGGCCCTCGCTGAGCCTGGGCCGAGCGGGAGAGGGGTCCCTGGAAAGGGCCGGGGAGGTGCAGCCGCGATGCCGGGGTCTCCGGGGGTCCCCCGAATGGGGCAGCACACAGCAGCCACAGCCTTGGGGCTCCTGCCGGGACTCGTAGGCGCTGACCATGGTCCTGACGGAAACCCCTTTGGGTGTTTCCATGGCGCAGACCGCCCAAGATGCTCAGGTCCTGGGTCTCCTGGATTGGGTTTGGGTCCTGTGTCTCTTGTTCTTTGGTTTCCTGTGGTGGGGTCTGCAATTGCCGTGACTCCTGGGACGTTTTCTCCTTGGTCCCAATGATCAGAGAGGTCCTGGGTCTCCTGGATTGGGTTTGCGTCCTGTGTCACTTGATCTTTGGTCTCCTGTGGTGGGGTCTGCAATTGCTGTGACTCCTGGGATGTTTTCTCCTTGGTCCCAATGATCAGAAGGCCTTCTTCCCTCCCAATCGGCTCTCTCGCTCTTTCTGCCCCATAGCCATCCAGGGAAGGTGTCCCAGTTCAGGGGAGAACAGGGGAGGCATGACCCGATCCGCTGCAAATCATCTCCCCAAATCAGAGGGACGCATTCTCTCCAAGTCTGATCCCTTGCTCTTCGTGCAACCTCATGGTCATCGGTATGACCGGACCCATCCCAGTTGGGGGGCAGGTCCTGATCTGTTGCAAAGGCTGTGCTTCCTCCTCCTCCTCCTCTTCCTCCTCCCCTCGCACTCAGTCCCAGCTGGCTGAATTGGGGAGGGGGGGGTTGTAATGATGGGGGTGTGAGCATCAGATGATGCTCACTGATGCTGCTCCCTGGCACGGCATAAATAGCCAACTCTGTGCCCAGCACTCTCTTTCTTTCAGCCCCCTCTCATTCACTCCCATTGGACGAGGCGTAAGTGTGTGTATGTGAGTGTGAAGAAGTGTATGTGTCCGCCCCCCTCCCCATTTCGACACACAGAAGGGACATCAGATGTCCTTGCAAAGCCTCGAAGGCTCTACCAACGGGTGTGAGCCTTCGTCCTCCATTCCCTCCTTCTTTCCCCCTACCCCAAACAAACACAGTCAACATCCACACTGTGTATCTCCACTCCAGCCCCCCCCCCCCCCTCCAAAACAAGGAAAAAGTGTCCGGCCGAAAGCCAAACGCCTCCTCGGCCAAAGCCTCTCCTTCACCCCTTCCTTGTTCTTGGCTCTGGAGTGACAGAGAAGACTTGGCGGATTGGGGAGGAGGGGGGGCACAAAGGGCCCTTTATGAGCCTGCCACCCTCTGTTTATGCCAGTCCCCTCCAGGGAGGGGGGAGTGTTGTGGAGGGTGGGGACGTTGCGATGGAGACCGGGAACAGAGCCCAAGCACATTGCATAACGCATTGCACCCGGTGCTCTTGCACAAGGAAACACACCCCCCCCCTCCCCAATTACACAATTTGGTTCTATTGGGGGGAGGCATAGGTGGGGAAGGGGCTTGGGCATGTAAGGAAATCTGTGTCATACAGGTATGGGCAAACTTTGGCCCTCCAGGTGTTTTGGACTTCAACTCTCACCATTCCTAACAGCCTGATGGAATACTGTGGGAGTTGAAGTCCAAAACACATGGAGAGCCAAAGTTTGCCCAGGCCTGGTGTAAATGGTAATTCAAGCTTTCTAATTGCAACAGGCAAGGGTTCTTTCTCCCACCCAGTTTGGGTGGTGGCTAGGCTACCTCTATGCAGATACCCTCACTGATTGACTTTGCAAACTTCAGGGCTACGCAAATGCTAATTCAAGCTTGCTCATTGCAACAGGCAAGGGTTCTTTCTCCCACCCTGTTTGGGAAGTGGCTAGGCCACCTCTATGCAGATACCCTCACTGATTGACTTTGCAAACTTCAGGGCTACGCAAATGCTAATTCAAGCTTGCTAATTGCAACAGACAAGGGTTCTTTCTCCCACCCAGTTTGGGAGGTGGCTAGGATACCTCTATGTGGATACCCTCACTGATTGACTTTGCAAACTTCAGAGCTACGCAAATGCTAATTCAAGTTTGTTAATTGCAACAGTCAAGGGTTCTTTCTCCCACCCTGTTTGGGAAGTGGCTAGGCTACCTCTATGCAGATACCCTTACTGATTGACTTTGCAGC